GTTGAGAGCACCACCCCTCCAAGTCACCCTGGCTTGCCAGCATAGCACCATCTTCAGCTCCTCATTCTCACTCATCTCATATGTCCAGTCATTTGTCAGATGCTGTCACTTCTACCTTCACAGTGACTGCACTCCTACAGTCAGCACCCTCATGCCGGCCCTCACCCCCTCTTCCCTGGGCTATTGAAATAGCATTCTTCCTGGTCTCACCTCACATATATCCCCACTCTAGCCCATCCTCCACTCAGCTGCAAAGTGATTTTTCTGAAGCACAGATCTGACTATGCCAAAACCCTGTTCAAGAAACAACAGCGACTCCCAGTTACTTCCAGGATCAAAGCTCTTCATAGCCTGGTCATAGTCAGGTTTTACTCTTCTTCTCAGACTCTACAATCCAGTGACATTGGCCTCCTTATCATTCCTCAAATATGACACTCCGTATTTGACTCCCTGCCTTTGTGCCAGCTGTCATGCTCCATTCCTCAAATGCTGTCCCTCCCCCCACCCCCCACATTTAGTTACCTTGAATACTCTGATCAAATCACCACCTTTTGCACAAGGCCTTTCCTGGTCCTCCATGCTGCTAGTGCCTTCTCCTCTAAGATTAGCCTCCCCTCACCACCACAGCTACTCTGAACATAACTCGTATTTACCTACTTCTTAGTATGTTGCCTTATCCATTGGCATGTGAACCCCCTGAGGGCAGTGACTGATTTTGCCTATCCTCAGTGATTATCTGGAAGTACTTAATAGATGTTTGTTGCCTGACTGACCAACTGATTTTACAAAGTGTATAATGACAAACTATGAGCTCATGCTATTGCACCCTGGGGAAAAAAAGTTTGGTTTTTTTTTCTTTTTTAAAAAGCTAGCTAAAGAACTCACATGTTGTGAATGGCTTTTCTACCTCTTTTGTCTGAGGATGCTCCTAGCTTTCTACTGCTGCTGTTAGCTTCAAGAAACATTCAAGTTCCAGATCACACCAAGGAGCCCTACCTACCCCGATTCGATCCACACATAGACAGGCCCCTACACTGTGGGAAGCTATTGTCCACCAGGTGGTGCTAGACTCAAGCCACTGGCCTCAAGATCTCATCAAGCAGGCATGCCAGGATCTGAACAAGTCACTGTGCTTCCAATAACCAGGCATGAAAGAAAAATTCACTAAGTTCTGAATTCCAGCCTAGCAGTTGATACTAAATATTGATCAAAAATACAAATTTTAGATAAATCTCTATGGCTCCCTTCCCATCCCACTTCTGTGAGATTTCCTGGCTCAGCCTCAACCTTTTATACCTAGATTACACAGGCAAGTAAATTTTGTAGTCATATAACGTATGGCAACATCCTCCATTCTGTCCTCCTTTCCTCTAGTCTGTGGTGATGACGACCCTCTCTTTACCCAGGCCAGCCCCTCTTATGTATCCTTAATCCTACTCTATCCCATTTTTTTCAGAAGATTGCTCCCTCAATCACTGCTTCTCTGTCTCTAATCTTCAATTTCTATCTCCATTGGTTCCTTCCTTACTGCCTTTATATATGCTGAAATCCCCCCTGTCCTGGAAAAAAAAAACCTTCACTAGACCCTACTATCCTTTCAAGCTAGTTTTATGTTACTCATCCCTTTATCAACCAAACTCCTAGAAGAAAAAGCTATCATTGGGCACCTTCACTTCATCTCCTCTCACTCTTTAAACCTTTGTAATCTTTTTCCTTACTTCTTCACTTAATTGAAATTACTCTCTCCAAAGTTGCCAGTAACCTCTTAATTGACAAAATTAGTGGTGTTTTCTTAGTCTTTATCCTTGCCCTCTCTACTTTGTTCGATATAGTTGACCATCCCCTCCTCCTGGATATGTTTTCTCCCTGGGTTGTTATGACACTGCTCTCTCCAGGGTTTCCTGCCAGCCTGACCCCTCCTTTGCCTCCTTTGCTGTCCCATTATCCCTATCACAGCCACAATTCTGGGTGTATTCCAAGGCTTTATCCTTGGCCTCCCTTCTCTGTGTACTCTCTTGGTGACCTTATCAGTTCCTATAGTTTTAATTATCATTTTTGTGTGATCGGGGTCTCATGCCTGACCATTTGCATAAAACTCTCCACACTGGTGGAGAGAATGATTACTCATTACTCATTACTGCCTTTGTGAGAGTCAGGGTTGGTGAGAGTTTGGGAAAAGCTCTGGTTTTTCCAGCTTCCTGAGAGTACACATGTGGTTCTCTTCAGAGAAATGACCCTCTTAGGAGAAAAAGACTTTGGGAACTCCACCATGTAAAGGAACTGTCACCTTGGGCATATACCTTTCCAACTTGCTTCACTGAGACTTCAGGGAGAGCTCATTTACTCTGTATATTTCTGGCATATTCTATGGTCATTTCTCTGAATTCTGTTTGCTTGGATAAATGGTATTCCTTTTTGTCATAGTCTCTGCATCACTGGCATTTGATGAGAAAGGTATCAAGCCTTTAGAGCCTGAGGTACTCCTTTCCCATTAAAGGACAGTGACCAGTAGCTTGAACCTGAAAATGATTTCCCCTAGACTAACTACATTGTCTCCCTTAGCATTTTCATTCATTCCTATGGTTTCAACCACTTCCTCCTTTATATAAATCCCAAACGTATCTCTAGTTCTGACTTCTCTTCTGAGGTTTAGAACCATATCCACAACTGCCGATAGGATATTTCCATTTAATGTATCCTATGCAATTCAATCCCAACCTGTCAAGTTTATTATCATTCCCTTTAAATCCCCTTCTCATTTCCCTATTTCTGCCTCTAAAGTGGCAGTCATTATTGGGGTTATCTTTAACTCCTGTCACATTCTCACCTCCCATACTTATCTAGTTGCCACATCTTTTCAACCCATCTGCACAACTTCTCTCAGGGTTGTTCCCACTTTTCTTTCCCCACTACAACAATACTAATACAGGCCCTCATTGGCACCTATATATTCCATTGTATTAGCCTCCTGAGAGGTCTTCTCACATTCCCTTTTTTCACCAATCCTCTTCCAATATACCCTTCATATTTCTGGCCAGATAGTTTCCTTGCAGACTCAACTCAATGGCCACCTTGTACAGAAGACTTTCTTGATCCTCAAATCCTAATCCTGATCTCCACTAGGATTCCTAGGTGCTAGTGCCTTCTCCTCAAAATCACCTTCCATCTATGGGGTGTGTGTGTGTGTGTGTGTGTGTGTGTGTGTGGTGTGGTGTGTATATACACCACTTCCTCTTCAGGGAAAAGTGGCCTGAGCCCATCGTGATCTGGTGAAACATCAACTCCTACTGAGAGAGAGAGAGAGAGAGAGAGAGAGAGAGGAGAGAGGGAGGGAGGGAGGGAGGGAGGGAGAGAGAGGGAGAGGGAGAGAGGAAGAGAGAGGGAGAGAGAGAGGAAAGAGAGAAGAGAGAGGGAGAGAGAGAGAGGGAGAGAGAGAAGAGAGAGGGAGAGAGAGAGAGAGAGAAAGAAGAGAGAGGGAGAGAGAGAGAGAGAGAGAGGAGAGAGAGAAGAGAGAGGGAGAGAGAGAGAGGGAGAGAGAGAAGAGAGAGGGAGAGAGAGAGAGAGAGAAAGAAGAGAGAGGGAGAGAGAGAGAGAGAGAGAGAGAGAGAGAGAGAGGGAGGGAGGGAGAGAGAGAGAGAGAGAGAGAGTGAGAGAGCTATAGATCAGAGAAGACATCTATCTACCTACCTCTCTATCTTCCCTGTTCCACTCATATCTTCTCAGTCTTTTCTTTCCACAGCCTTAAATGAGGTTGGCCTCTTCCATGTTCTCTTGAATCTGAAAACCAGAAGTGCCCTAAGCAACCCAGCGCTTAAAGAGTCCTAGAGGAAAGCTCAATGCTTGATGGGTGTCAAAGGGGAATTGGTGGAGAACTGAAGCTCTCTCAACTCTTACCAACTCCACCCCCTCCCTTGGAGGGTAGGCCTTTTATATTCCCCAATGCCAATGCCTTGAGACTAGCCTCACTCAGACTCACCTAAAATATCCCATTCCTCCTTGAGCTCATTGTCCCATGTTGTCCATGACCTTTCCCTCAGAGAGAGGGTACAGGGAGATCAGTCCTGGATTTGTAGTCATGGGACCTGAGTTCAATCTCAGTTCTTCTATTTATGACTTAGCACTTCACTTAGCGATTCTGGGCCTCAGCTTCCTCATCTGTGAGAAGAAACTTTTTGGATTCCAAGGGGAAAGGTACATGTGGAGATAAGCCACATGTCTATCCACTTCATTCCTTCACACCTTCCCGCATAGCTCTGGACAACTGTTCTACCATGGCTTAGTTATATCCTATATATAAAAGACCCTTACATCCTAAATGCTGAAGAACCTCCCACCAAATCATTAAAGAATTTGAATTTGGAATCAATGGGTTTAAGTTAGAATCCAAACTCTGCTACAGAAATATTTTCTATCTACTTATTTATGTACATGTTATTTACCCCAGTTAAAAGTGAGCTCCTCCAGAGCAAGGTGTTTCCTTGCCTTTGTTTCTCCAGTACCAGTACGAAGCCTAACACAAAATAGGTACTTTAATAAATGCTCGTTGCTTGCTTAGCTGGGCGAGCCAGCTGACCTTTCTAGACCTCAGTTCCCTTGCCTGTAAATTCCTCTTCACTTCCAGCTCATTCTCAGTTCTGCTCCATCTGCACATTGGCTACTCAACCCCTGCTTTCCAGACCCTCTCCGTGTTTTGTCTTCCCCTATCAGAATAAAAGCTCCTTCAGAGTAGGGAGGTCTTGTCTTCTTGATTTTGCCTCCCTAGAACTTAGTACACTATCTAGCGCGTAGTAAGTACTTAATACATGCTTTGCCTGTGTTGCTCTGCCTATCTGTCTGTACGTTTATGTATCTATCTAAGACTACAAGGTAGCTTCCAGCTCCAAAACCTATAGTCGTGACCATTGTACCTTGCCTGTCCCAGGACCTAAGTGTGGGCATCCAAGGGAAACAAAGATAGAAATGAGTAACTCATTTCCTTTAATAAGTTTTTATTTGTGCTGGAGTAGATTAGTGGCTAATGTTTGTACATTCAGGGAAGAGTTTTGAGTCATGTTCTTCTGTCTTGTACCCCCACCCCCCAACAGGCCTCAGTTAATCTGTTGAAGGTCAAGGCAGAGGGAGGAACAGTGTGCTGGCTTGCTCCCCTGTGACTTTGGCTCCTTCTGCTGCACAGCAAGATCTGAATGCTTCTCTGTAATTCCTCCACCCCTCTCCTGCAGGGCCCAATAGCTCTCTCCCTGGCCTGTAAATCAGTTCATCAGGGCCTTCTCTAGGATCCAAGAAAAAGACACACCCCATGGTGTTGCTTACTGTCTTTCCCTCCAACCAGGTATTCCAAGAATTCCACCCAAGGAGATCAGGGATGAGGTTTGCCTTTCTCAGTCCCTAGGGACCAACCCTTAAGAAAACAGACAGTGTTATTTGATATTGGTGCTGATATAGCACATTCAGAACTGGCATTCCGAGCCCTGATAAACATTCCAAAAGAAACAATGCCTAGCTCGGCTCTACTGGCAGGGAAACTGAAGCCCCCAAAGGAGCTGTACTGGTGAGAGTGTCTGCCTCCATCTCACAGCTTTGTAAGTATTTTTACCACATGGAAGGTCTGTCTTCCCAACTACAGCATGGGTTTCCTGATTACAGGGACCCTACAGTTTCCTGACTTTTGAAAATCTATACATGGTGGGATTTGTCTGAGTGACCCCACTGCCTATAAACCACCCTCAGATAATTATTCAGCCCATCTATAAACCATTTATTTTATGTAAGTACCATAGAGGCCCTGTGAGGAAGGAAGAAGGGGAGAGAAAATCATCCCTATCCTTCCTTTAAGGAAACTTGGGGAGAGAGGGAGAGGGAGAGACAGAGAAAGAGGGGGGGAGAGAGAGAGAGAGAGAGAGAGAGAGGAGAGAGAGAGAGAGAGAGAGAGAGAGAGAGAGAGAAGAGAAGAGAAGAAGAGAGAGTGTGTATGTGGTATGTGTTTTGGGGTATAATTTAAAAGAACACTAAAAGTTAGGAGACCTGGATTCTAATCTGGACCCTGCCACTAACTAAATGAGCTTATTCAAGGTACTTCTCTCTGGGTCTCATTTTCTTCAGCTGTAAAGTATAAAATGTAAAAAAACAAAAAGGGTGGGGGGCTATATATAGTTGATCTTTAAGGTCCCTTCAAGTAGTGACATTCTACCATCTGTGGGTCAGTTTGACTGGAAGTCATGATCAGAACTGTTCTGTTACAGTTCTGTCTCCATAGGTAATCAAAACACTTTCCTCCTGGTGGTCACGTGGGAGTGGCAGTTAGGGGTTTCCCAGGCCCGCCTATAGAATCACAGATGATCCTTCCCTTCATTTTACAGATGGAATAGGCTGCTTGGAAGGGTCCCCTTCTTCAGGTTTGAAGGTCTTCAAGGACAGGCTGGATCATCCCTCGTCAGGTCTCTTGTAGAGGCTGTTTTTGTAACGTGGTCTAATAGATAGGGCCTGGAATCAGGAAGACGTGGGTTCAGATTCTCTTCTCGAACCCTGGCTCACCACCTATGGGAGCACGACCCACAGTTTAAGAAGCCCTGGCCTGAATCAACTATTAGTTCTGTTCCTCTGTCTGAACCTCAGTGGTCTCTAGGGTCCCTTCTAGCTAGGAGTCTGTGATCTTGTGACTGCCAGGGAGGGACAGGACAAGAGCGCCACTCAGAATTCCTCCCTGAGTCTGTGATCTTATGATCTGAAATTCTGTATCTGATTTGCCCACAGTGACACAGCTCTTTAGTAGAAGAACTGAGAGTAGAATTCAGGACTCTTGAATCCCAGTCATCTAAGTGCCATTTCAATGTTTCCATCAGCATTATTATAGTTCCGGTGCAAGCTCTCATTACCTTTCACCTGGACTATTTGCCTCCTAACTGGTCTCCCCACCTCTCTCTACTCTCTAGTCCTCTACACTCCGTTCTTAAGTATCAGTGGCAATTTAACTTTCCTCCCACATAGATCTGATTGTTTCATTCAAAGAACTTGCCACCAGTAAATTCCAAACTCCTTAGTCTCTCAATTAAGGTCCATCAAAATCAGATCCCTACCTATTGTTCACCTTATCTCCTACAAACTCCCTACCCTTTAGCCAAACTAGGCTGCAGTTCTACAAATATATCCCATAGTTTCCTGTGTCTTAGCTTTTCCTCTTGCCATTCACTACACATTGAATGTCTTGTTCCACCAGTCTACCCACTGGAATCCTACCCTTTTTTCAAGGCCCAGGTAAAATGTAGCCCCCTCCATGCAGCCTTTCTTACTCTCCCCAGCTTTGAGTGAGCTCAAAGCCCTCTGAGCTCCCTTACTGTGTTACATGTACCTCCCTTGTGCGGATAAGCCACTAAGTGGTGCTGGCAGATTGAGCTGCCAGTCATTCCCTACACCAAAGTGAGCACACTGAGACATACCTGAGCACACGAGCCACACTGAGCACACCTCTGCATAGGTGGCACTTCCCTAGCTGCTCACTTCTCCTTCGGTGTCACGGCTTCCCTTTGCTAAGCAAGGCACTCCCCTTCATTTCTTGGGGGCATGACTTCCCTTTCAAATTTAACAGTGCTAAATGTCTCCCTGGTAGAGGGGAAAGAAAATGCCTGGGTTTTGCTCACTTGAAGATTGGAATTATTACCAGCTTACTTTTCCTTTCTTTCTCTCTTTCTTTTTTTTTTAAACATTGTAATTGCTAGGGGCATCTGGGCTTTTTTTTTTAATTCTTTCCCAAGCCTACAAAAGTCCAGTACCACTCACCCTGCTTTACCCTATTGGCTCCATCCCCAAGTAGAGCTGCCCACTCATATGGAACAAGTATTTCATCTCTCTAAAACTGAGTTGGCTCTCTTTCTCTTCCCTTCATTAAAATACATGAGCATTAAATAAAATATGACATGCAGCTTAGAAATGTCTCCTACCCAAAAGGGTTTTACAGTAAATAAATAAAATCTAAATTGAAAGTAACAGATAAAGGACTAAGTAGGGGGGAAAGAAAATGCCTGGGTTTTGTTCATTTGAAGACTTGAAGCTCACTTTTTTAACGTTTTAATTTCTAGGAGTATCTGGGTTGGTTTGTTTTTTTTTTATTCTTTCCCAAGCCTACAAAAGCCCAGTACCAGTCACCCTGCTTTACCCTAATGGCTTCATCCCCAAGTAGAATACACACTCATATAAAACAAGCATTTCATCTCTCTAAAACAGAGTTGGCTCTCTTTCTCTTCTCTTCATTAAAATACATGAGCATTGAATAAAATATGACATGCAGCTTAGAAATTTCTCCTAGTCAACAGGGTTTTATGGTAAAGAAAGTAACAGATAAAGTTTCCACACTTGGCTACAGATAGATGAATAGACAGATAGGTACGTAGATAGATAGCTAGATACATAGTTAAATACCTAAATGATAGTCACATAGATAGATGCATAAATAATAAGTAGATGTTCTATATAAATATTCATAGATGGATTCATCGATAAATACATAGGACATTTATTAATCACTTGATGTGTGCCAGGCCTTGTGCTAAATGCTGGTCAGGTCAAGTCAACAATCACGTATTAAGCACCTACTGTGTGCAATGCCAAGCACAGTACCAAGGATCAGGAATACAAAGAAAGGCAAAAAATTAAAATTTAAAAAAAAAACCTAGTCCCTGCTTTAAAGGAGCTCGATCTAAAGGGAAAAGAAGGAAACAAGCATTTATCAAAGACCAGGCATCATGTTAAGTGCTTCATAAATGTATCTCATTTTATCCTCATAATAACCCTGGAAGATAGATTTATTATTCTCTCTATTTTACAATTTGGGAAATGGAGGCAGACAGAGGTTAATTGACTTGCTCAGGATCATAGCTAAGTGTCTAAAACTGGATTTGAACTGAGGACTTCATCCACAATACTGCCCAACATGCAGATAACTCTCTCTCTCTGTGTGTATGTAGATATATATAGATATAGATATACAGATATATGTATATATACATACATGCATGCACACACATAGATAGATAGATAGATAGATAGATAGATAGATAGATAGATAGATAGATAGATAGATAGATAGATAGATAGATAGATAGTGTATGTGTGTGTGTATGTGAACAAGACATGTATGGGATAAGTTGGAAATAATCAACAAAGGGAAGCCAATAACATGAAGGGGAAATCAGGAAAGGCTTTGTATAGAAGGTGGGATTTTAGCTGGGACTTCATGGAAGTCAGAAGGCAGAGATGAGGAGGGAGGGGCATGGAGGACAACCAAGGAAAAGGCAGAGTAAAGAGAGAAGGTGTCTTGTTGGAATAATAGCAGAGAAGCCAACTGCTGCTGGAGTGCAGAATATGTGGGGATGAATAGGATATAAGAATGCTGGAAAGGTGGCAGGGGCCCAGGTTGTGAAGGGTTTTAAATGCCAAACAGAGGATTTAATTCTAGAGGTAATCAGGAGCCACTCAAGTTGACTGAATAGAACAATGACATGACCTGTGCTTTAGGAAGGTCAATTTGACAGCTGAATGGAGGGTAGACTGGAGTGAGAAGAGACTTGAGGCAGGCAGACCCACCAACAGGCTAATGCAGGGGTCCAGGCATGAAGTGATGAGGGCCAGCATCAGAGTGGCAACAGTGCCACAGCACAGCAGGGAGCACGTTGGAGAGATGTTTCAAAGGGGGAGTCAATAAGGTTTGGCATCAGATTGGATGGGATGGGGCAGAGACAAAGGAGTTGAAGATGACACCTATGTTCTGACTGGGAGGATAGTGGTGCCCTTGACAGAGATGGGAAAGGGGCAGGCAGTGTCACCTTGCTGAGAGGACACAGAGTATTTTGTTAGTTGATTCCCAGCGACTGGGACTGACAAATGTCAACTGAGAGTCAGTGGGACTGCATTTTTGTTGAGAGAGTCGTCCATCTATTGAGTCTATATAAATTAAGTTGGAGAGAGGTCTTGTGATCTCCGTCACACACTTTTTGCCTTTTCCCTTGTACCATCTTTCTGTGTGCAGCAGAAGTGGGGGTGGAGGGGATTTCTCTCTTCTCCTTTCTCCTCCACCAGGAGCAAATTAAAGGTGACTTGCAGCAGAAGCACATAGCAGAGATTAATGTGCTCGTCCAGTCAGCTCAAGAAAGTAGTTCATGAACAATATTCATGTCTGATTGTGTATCCTGGACTTCTTTTTGTAAAAGGGGGTTATTTTGGATTCCCTAGGCAGTGTGATCCTGGAAGCTGGTCTTAAAACCAGAGAAGGGAGATTTTCTGGGCAGCATCAGCTTTGAAAGTTGCCTCTGAGTTCAAGGATTCATTTACTAGCATCCTTGAAAGATGTCCGTGATAGAGTGCTTCTGAGAAGATGAAGAGTATCTCCAAGAGAGAACTGTGCTGTACCTAATTGACTAAAGCTAGATTGGGGATGGTGAGATATAGATCTTATCAGACCTGCCATTTCAGTGAATCTGGGGACTTTTCAGCTCCATAGAGAGGGGGATATTTTTCTAGGAGCAATCCTCATCCCTTAAAGTGTAATTACCTTCCAGGGGTACTCTAATAAGTTATTTGAGTAGATTAT